AAAATAAAATATAAACTATATATCACTCTAACTAGTTTTAAATGTTTACATAAGTGTATTTAGTCATTCACCCATTTAATATCATTTATGTCTTTTTTTTAAATTACCTAATGTCTGGCCCTATGATGGAGTCTATGGGGGGCTATAAACATATATCAGTTTCAAGAAGCTCATTTTGTAGTAAGGAAGATAAAATGTGTAGAGGGATAACTATGATATCATGCATAGCAAGACAAAGTGCAGAGAAATGCAACTAGAGTGTATAGGATTGTCTCTGGCTGAGAATTTACTCATTCAACAGACATATGAATTGCTACACATGCTGAGCCCTGATCTAGGAACACAGGTGAGCAAGACAAGAAAAACCTCTGCTCTTTGAGGCTTAAATTCAAATGTAGAACGAGGAATAGCTCTTTTACTGAGCTATTCAACATTATTTAGTGGTTCCTGTATGCAAGGCAGGCACTGAGAATAGAAAGAAAAATGAAGATAAATGACACTGATCTCATGGAGAAAGCCACATCTGAATTAATCTTGAAGGTCTAGTAGAGCCGAGGAAAGTGGAGAGGACATTCTAGGGCTGAATGAAGTATTTCAAAGGGGTAGAACAAGAACTCGATAGAGTTTTTCTGGAAAGGAAATAGTGAAATGTGAGGTTATAGCCAAAATTATATGGGGTTAAGCATCAAAGTACATATATTTTGCTTCATTTGTTTGCTTGTTTGGTGATGAAGCATCAGAGGAAAGCAGTGATTTAGTAAAATCTACCTTGGGACAATATGTATGGAATGGGCTAATGTAAGAAAAGGCAAAAGTGGGAAGGCTAGTTTGAAGATTGTCAGAAATATCCCTGGATAATATATAATAAGAGGCTTTAAAATGGAAGTGACTTTATAAGATAGAATGAAATACTCTATTTGAAAGGTAATTGCAAATTTATTTAATAAGTCAGAATTGTCTGACAATTTAAACAATCAGTTGTCATTGAATGTGCTATCTCCTCAGACATAGAAATAAAAAGAAATAGGGAGAGATTCCTCTAATGTTCTTCTAATATTTTGCTTAAATTTATTAATTTTACAAAAGAACTCAATTTATTTGTACATGATCCTAGATTAAGAAATATAACTATGAATCATTTTAAGACTCAATAGAAGTATTCCTTTAGTCAGTTTTGATAATAATTTCCACAAGTGGGGAAAGATAAATCTTAAAGAACTGAAGATACTGCAATGGGAAAATTATTTTTCCTATTTTTACTTTAATCTTGAATCTCTTCAAATAGTAAAAGTTGGCACTGTATATATTACATTAAAGTACCTTGCATTGCGAATGAGTCAATTAAGCCAGGACCTGTGGGTTTTTTACAGCATTTGTCATGAAGTCTCTCTAGAATATGTAACTATTTCTGATATGCGCTGTTTAACAACACATCACAGAAGGAATTTGAATTCGGGCCCATGTTTCTGGCACATAGGGCAGTGATACGAGAAAGATGAAGGTTCACAACGGCACCACCCATAGGATTACAACTTCAGACTCCCTACCTCAGCTTCAATCAGAAAAATCACGAGATTTAGTTGCCCTTATGTCTCATTATCTGTGTGCTGCAGGTTGAGAATAATTGTTGAATAAATTAGCATCAGATCAGAGAGCATGAAATTAAGGACACAAATAAAGTGAGTTGCAACATGGTAAATTAAAAACAAGCTGAAGACTTCCTGGGCTGAACATCAAGAGGTACATTTATTAAGGGGAAATGCAGTTTGAGTTCGCATAGAACAAAAAATAGGACAGAAATATTTTAAATATTTTCAATTTGCTTTATGTATATGTGTAGTTTCATGGCAGCAACATCAAATAGAATATTTGATTAGGAGATTGGAAATTTCAAATTTGTATTCCCAACTGCAGTACTGTTTTTTTAGACTAAAATTTACAAAATTTAGATATGATCACTTGTTGATAAAGGTTTCAAGTGCATATAAAATATATGACAAATTTAGTTGACTTTATATGAGAAATTCAGTTGTCTTAGTTTGTCTCAGTCAGGACCCATTCACATTAAACAAGTTCTATAATAAATCAGGAGTTTATAAAAGTCAGTGAATATTCATTGTGATAATTCTGGGGTGTTGTCCACTAGTATCTGATGCATTCACTTAGATGAAAATAAATATTTATTCACTACTTTAATTACCTGCAGTTTTATTCACACATACACACATATACACAGATATAGCTTAATTTAATCTGCACAACCATCTTACAAGTTAGGTATGATTTCCTCCTTTTTTGGTGATATTGAGACTCAAAATGTTTAACTGACCATGCAGTTTGGGTTAACTTTAGGTATAATAGGCTTACATAAATATTTAGGACACTGTCTTTGTCTTCAAGGAGCAGACTTTTTTTTTTTTTTTAGCTAAGGAGTTAAAAATATATGCAAAAGGGACAAAATTAAATGAAAGATTTGAATAAAAGTTTTGGCCAAAGGAAAGATCATTACAGACAACTGCAAAAATCTGTACTTTGACACAGGGTTCAAAAGAAGAAGGGATTATTTTAGGGTGAAGTGATGAGGGATTGTTTCATGAATGTGATGTGATTTGAACAGAGTTTTGAAGGAACTGAAAAGGTAGTGAATAGGAGGGTGTAAGTTTCAGAGGAAGAGGAAATGTAGGTAGGTCAAAATATCAAGCATGTTAAAATGGACTAAAAAACAATGCATGTGAAGGAGCTCAGAGCACAGGAAGAGATAAAACAGGAAAGTAATAACTATATATTGTTTTAGTACCTATTCTTTGCCATGTCCATTCTAAACTTTACCTGTATTAATTCATGTCCCCTTCCCAACATCACTATCTATTCTTAATCCACGGGACTGGTGAAGAAACTGCATTTCTGAATGTTTAACTAACTTGTTCAAAGTCACATAGCTTATGGCAGAACCAAAATTACAATACTGTCTTCCATAATAATAATAGTGATCTGGCACTGTTCTCAACATTACATCTGAACTCATTACAGAAGGTAAACTGGCTGCCTACAGAGCTTCACATTTACCCTGGGTAATAAGAAGTATGGTCAGAGTTTATTTGAGGAAGTTAAATTTTTTGGAGGATGCCATATTACGGATGAGATGAAGAAATCAAATGAATCAAATATTTGCCCACTATTATTACATGACTATAATTAAGAACTATGTTTTATATTATATAGTATTCATTACTGCATAGGAGATAACAGTAATCAATTATTGTTATAATTCTTGTTCCTATAGTATCTAGCACCACAAGTTATCACTAATGTCCTTTTAAGACCTTCCTTTCAGATGAAATGTAGTCACGTTCAAATTCTGATTTCATTTTATTATACCAGTGACCATCTTTTTCACATCATATTCTTATCTCAAACATTCTGCTCTTTTATTATTGGGTATAATTTTTGTAAAATATTTTAATTTCTTACATTACTAAAAAAACATATATTTCCTTGTTCTCTACCTTTCTTTCTATTGTCCCTGCCTCTCACCTTTCTTTAGGAACTTATTTGTTCTGATAACACTTAAGGATGTCCTCCTTGTTCCAGCAATACCCTCTTTGGGTTACTGTCAAGGGGGTAATAAAGTATGCAACTGGAGGAATAAACACATCTAAGTTTTGAAAAAAAAACCCATGTCTGCAGGTTATTTTATTCCTATGCTACATTCCTCTATGAGAATTCTTACTGGAAATGTGTATCTCTTTGGAAGGTGGGAAAAAACAATCTAGCAACATAAGCTGATTCAAAAGTTCAGCCAATCAACATGATACTTTTGCTGTGATCTGTTTTAGGGCTTTTAAGGGGCAACTACCTTCTCATCTGTGACTTGTGAATAAATCATGATTTGGGAATTAATTTGTTATATACCAGGCAAATATTTTGACTTGCTTCTTTTGTCTATATTGTGAAAAAGTTGTGTTTTTATTGTTACTATTTTGTTTTCCATATTTAAAAGCTAAATAAGTGGGTATTCAATCTACTTATGTCAATAAGTGGCATAAATGGATATCTAATCATTTGAAATGACTTAGTAGATTGATGGCATTTATTGAATACATATTGCTGGTATGCATATTTGGCATATATAATTTAAAATTTGATTAATAGCAACTAGAAGGTGAATAGATGATTGAAAGCAAGTCTAAAGAATGTCCCTTGCTAAATTATTAGATGATTTAGAAAATGGTGAGTAGATTATGAAGACAAAGGAAGGAATGAGAATACATAGAAATATCAAAGAAAAAATGAATTTAAATAAAGACCTCAGTCATGTGACCCAAAAATACTTTATTGGATGACTGAAAAATTACGTGAACTCTTTATGTTAGGAAGCTCGTCACATAGTCACATTTATAAGACATAAATACAAATTTAAAAAAGATGTGAAAATCCAGATATTTTTGAGTAAAAATTAAATTTTCTTTAAGAAAATAATTAATCTCAAGGAATTTTTCCAGTCTTCTGTGACTGCTTTCCCTAAAATTATTAAAATATCTCAATTAAAAAATGATTAAAAGAAATACATCTGTCTATAAAGACCAGTTTAAAAGGTAGCAGGACACATATGATTATAGTGATCCTATTAAATGTTAAACTTCAATGCCTCAGTCAAAACGTTGAAGTTAATATTTTATTAGGATAAAAGTGAAAGAGCCAGAAGAAAAAAAAAAATGTTGATACCTTTACTGCTTCTTTTATCTGGATACATTTTCTCTGGCAGTGAATTCATTGTAAATGAGTAAATACATATGTTTTGAAACACTAAATAGAAATTCAGGTTCTATTAAAGATTAGCTTGGACAAGAATTTACTAAAATACAAGGCAATTATTAATATTAAAGAAAATTTTAATAACATTACTGTGGCTACTTTTCTTTTTATCCTGAAATTAATAATAACCTATTAGAAGACACTCAGATTTTCATGATACACACACACATATAATTTCTACTTACTTTTGGTCACAACACCTTCTAAGTGAATGATGTTAGGATGATCAAACTGCCCCATGATACTTGCTTCACCCAGGAAATCTCGGCGTTGCTTTTCTGTGTAGCCTACTTTCAGGGTTTTGATTGCCACAGGTAATTCTCTTTTTCCTGGAAGTTTCAAACGTCCACTACAAACTTCACCAAATTCACCTTGTCATAAAGATGGAAAAACACACAAACTCATTTCAATCCTTACTCTAATAATATGCTAAAGTCCTCCTAGAATACTAAGGTTTAGACAAAACATTATTAAAAGGCGAGTCCAAACTTCATTATCAGTAGTAAGAGAATAAGTGGTGTTTGGGGGAAAAAGTGTCTATATGTGATCATAAAACACTCTAGGGGCTTTTAGCTTCATCCATCTCACCTACAAAAACCTTAATGAAAACATTAGAAAGAAATTAAATGCAACTGATTGAAACTCTACAGGGGTGGTTCAATATCCACAAATCAATCAACATGATACACCACATTAATAAAAGAAAGGATAAGAACTATATGATCCAGTCGATAGATGCAGAAAAAGCATTGGACAAAATATGGCATCCTTTCCTGATACAAACCCTCAACAAAATAGGGATAGATGGAACATACCTCAACATCATAAGGCCATATACGAAAGACCCACAGCTAATATATCCTCAATGGGGAAATGGATGTCCACTCTCACCATTACTATTTAACACTGTACTGGAAGTCTTAGCCTCAACAATCAGACAACAAAAAAGAAAGGCAAGGAAGATGTCAAACTTCCATTATTTTCAGATGACATGATACTCTATAAACAACCCAAAAGACTCCACCAAAAAATTCCTAGAACTCATACATGAATTCAACAAAGTTGCAGGATATAAAATCAATGTGCAGAAATCCATTGCATATCTATACACCAATAACAAAGCAGCAGAAAAAGAAATCAAAGAACCAATCCCATTTGCAATTGCATCAAAAACAATAAGATACCTAGGAATAAATCTAACTAAAGAAGTAAAAGATCTGTATTCTAATAACTACAGAACACTTATGAAAGAAAGTTAAGAGGACACAAAGAAATCGAAAAGCATTCCATGCTCATGGATTGGAAGAACAAATATTGTTAAAATGTCTACACTACCCAAAGCAATCTGCAGATTTATTGCAATCCTTATCACAATACCAAAAAAATTTTTCACAGAACTAGAACAAATAATCCTAAAATTTGTATGGAACCACAGAAGACCTAGAATAGCCAAAGCAATTCTGAAAAAGAAAAACAACTGGAGGCATCACATTTCCGGACTTCAAGCTATTTTACAAAGCTGTAGTGATCAAGATAGTATGGTACCTGCACAAAAACAGACACATAGATCAATGGAACAGAATAGAAAACCCAGAAATGGACTCACAACTCTATGGTCAACAATCTTTGACAAAGCAGGGAAGAATATCCAATGGAAAAAAAATAGTCTCTTCAACAAATGGTGTTGGGAAAACTTCTCAGTCACATGAAGAAGAATGAAACTGGACCGCTTTCTGATACTATACACAAAAATAAATTCAAAATGGATGAAAAATCTTCATGTGAGACAGGAAACCATCAAAGTCTTAGAGGAAAACACAGGCAGAAACCTCTTTGACTTTGGCAGGAAGAAGTTCTTACTAGACACGTCACCACAGGCAAAGGAAACAAAAGCAAAAATGAGCTATTGGGACTTCATCAAGTTAAAAAGCTTCTGCACAGCAAAAGAAACAACAAAACTAAAAGGCAGCCTATGGAATGGGAGAAGATATTTTCAAATGACATATCTGATAAAGGGTTAGTACCCAAAATTTACAAAGAACTTAACAAACTCAACACCCAACAAACAAATAACCCAGTTAAGAAATGGGCAGAAGACATGAATAGACACTTTTCCAAAGAAGACATCCAGAATGGCTAATAGACACGTGAAAAGATGCTCAAAATTACTTATAATCAGGGAAATACAAATCAAAACCACAATGAGATACCACCTCACACCTCTCACGATGGCTAAAATTAACAACAGAAGAAATAACAGGTGTTGATGAGGATGCAGAGAAAGGAGAACTGTATTGCACTGTTGGTGGGAATGCAAACCGGTGCAGCCATTCTGAAGAACAGTGGCGGTTCCTCAAAATGTTAAAAATAGAACTACCCTACAATCCAGCAATTGTAATACTAGGTATTTACCCAAAGGATAAAAAAAAAAAAAAAATACAGATTCAAACAGATTCAAAAGGATACATGCACTTTGATGTTTATAGCAGCATTATCAACGTAGCCAAACTATGGAGAGAGCCCAAATGTCCACTGACTGATGAATGGATAAAGAAGATGTAAAGGATATACATATATATATAGACAAATATATAATGGAATATTACTCAACTATCAAAAAAATGGAATCTTGCCATTTGCAATGACATGGATGGAGCTAGAATGTATTACACTATGTGAAATAAGTCAGTCAGAGAAAGAGAAATACCATATGATCTCACTTCTATGTGGAATTTAAGAAAGAAAACAGATGAACATATGGGAAAGGGGACAAGGGGAAAAAAAGGAGAGAGGGAAACCAGCCATAAGAGACTGTCTTTTAAAAAACATTTTATTTATTTGAGAGAGAGACAGAGAGAGTAAGAGAGAGAGAGAGAACATGAGCAGGGTGAGGGGCAGAGGGAGAAGCAGACTCCCTGCTAAGCAGGGAGTCTGAAGCAGAGCTCTATCCTGGGACTCCAAGATCATGACCTGAGCCGAAGGCAGACGCTTAACTGACTGAGCCATCCATGTGTCCCGCCGTAAGAGACTCTTAACGATAGAAAGCAAACTAGATGGGAGATGAGTACTAAGGAGGGCACTTGTTAAGATGAGCACTGGGCATTGTATGTAAGTGATGGATCACTGAATTCTAATCCAGAAACAAATATTGCACTGTATATTAACTACCTAAATTTTAAATAAAAAAATAAAAATAAATAAAAGTCTGAATTAAACACACTGTTGTACCTGCTCCAATAACTCTTTCAATGGTGATGCATGAAGCTTCTATCTCCTTGGCAAATTCATGGACAGCTTGATTGGGATCCTCATAGGTGTGTGGATCAATATAAGTTCTTACTCCTGGCAGTTTAACTGGAAAAATAAATATTCGTTAAAATATAACTGCTTGTGATGGATGAATGAAATCATAAACATTATTAACATGCAACTATGGCTTAAATCCCTAATTACTAGAAATGGCCAAGTTGCAAGGACAGCCCCTCTTCTGAGTTATAGGAGTCATTTATATAGCTATGTCATTTTTATAATTTTAGAAATCTGGATTGTTGTCATGTAAAAGAAATGCATATATGACAACATATTTGAATAGATACATCTTTCAACAATAATGTTCACAGAGTCAGTCTCTGAGGCAAACTAAGATAAGCTTGTTTACTAAACTGGCCAATGAAATGCTAGTGAGTTATTTGTTGTTTTGTTATTCTGTTTCACTTAAAATGCCATCACAGATGAATTTTGGTTTTACAAAAAATAATTTAAAATAATTTTTCTGGTGCTTTGGTCCAGTATGACTGACACAGAAGTCAAAAGAAAAAGATAAATTCTACCTCTCACTCTACTCCTGTTACTACATGGCTTTATCCAAGACTCTAAGTTTCTATGAGCCTCAGTTTCATCACATTTAACGACTACCAATTTTACAAGATTTTTTTTTTTTTAAGGATAAATACCATTAAATAAGATAGGACCTATGAAAATAGATCCAATGCTTTGCAACATGAATTATGGCTTTAATTATTTGACTTTTATGGTAACAGGAGAGTGACAAAAAAGAAATTACTTTTATTTACTTAGCAAATCAACTAACACTATACTATTTATGAAAAAATGCACATATTAAAACCCCATTAATTAGACTCATTTAGGCTAATTTTTAAAGCATGTTATCAAAACTTGATTTTCTGTATTTTTAAAAAGAATAGTCTTTTTCAAATCATTGAACGAAGGTTGTTGCTACAGGATCTGCTCATGGAAATTCCTGCTATAATGCTAGAAAAAGGAGAAAAAATACTGAGAAATTTTATTTGTTTCATCTGATGTTGTTATTTAACAATAAATTTCTACTGACTGTGCTGGAAGAAATTAGAATTGGTCTGGAAATTTGGTTTGAAATGTAACAGCTTTTTATAATGATTGAAAAGGTTTTTTTTTAATAACTATAATAAAGGCGTTCTTTAAAAAATTGAATAAACCATCTAGCTGTTGTCTAGAGTCAGGCAGCAATGCCCTTTAGCCCATATGCTTTACAGGAACGTAACAGAACATTTACATTCTTTTTAAACTTTTAAACACAATATTTTGGTCAGTTATTACAAATCTCCTTGTCTGAAAATAAACAAAAATAATAATAAAATCTCTATTTTGTTTTCTCTTGATTTTTTACAATTTGCTTACTGTGCCCATTATGAAAATGCATCTTTTCCTCTTCTGGATCTTGTTTTGCTTTGCTGTAACCACACCTCCTGGAACAGAGTAAGCTACAATTAGCCATATCTCTAAGCGTTGAATCACATGAAGCCCAGAAGCATGAAATGCAATTGAAATGATTGCAGCCCTAACTGATTTTTACACTAGTAGCATGAGAAAACACCAATCCTTCTTTTGGATGAATCATATTTCCGCCACCAGTATCTCTCAGTCTTGCCCAGATTTCACTGAGAAGTCAGAAGCCATCCAAATCCATTAAAAAAAAAAAAAAAAACTTCTCTCCACCATACACCACACTCTAGAACTTTTCTGTTTCCTTTCATTTTTTTTTTTGCCACCTCAGAAGCCTTTTTACAGAATGTATTGCCCAAAATATCTTTCTCCACTCTCCACTTAGATCACTACCAAATTTACCACAACCTGCAAGCCTTCTCAGTTCAGCTCCACTCCCAAAAACTTATTCTCTCCTGTTTTACTTAACTACTTACTAATTTCAAAGTCCTTGCAACCTGCTCTTGTTACTGAAAAAATCTGTCCTTGGAGGTTCACTAATGACATAGTCACCCCATGACTTTATCTTATTTTTTAATTATTCATGATGGACTGAAATCCCTAACTACTCCTTTTGTGATGCTTCTTGCTCCTCTCTTCATTTATGTGAACTTCTCTGGTTCTCTACTGTCAATCCATTCATTTCCATCAATTTAATTAATACTTCTATTCTGCTTTAATTCTTTTGACAGTTATACTCTTGTTCCTCATAGATTTATTTTATAGGGATATTCCACTGGCATACAAACAAAATAGATGTGAAAAACCAATCAGTATATTTCTCTTTACTTTCAGTCTTGATCTGTTGACTTCTTTTCCTATTAACAACCCTGGCAAGGCCTTGGCCCCTTTGGGTACAAAGCCTTTGTCTTGTGTACTTCACAACAAATTAGTGGCCAAATCCCAAGCATTGTATAACATAAAAGTCTTAAAATTCATCTCTATTTTTTCATTAGCTCTACTGCTTCTTCAATTAAGGCTTTGTTATTTTTCATTTGGATTGCTATAAGTGCCTCTGAACTGATGTTCCTGCATTCTGTAACTATTTTCCTAAACTAGACATGGCTGTAGCCAAATTACTGTAAATAAGGTACTTTTCTACTGTGTTGTCTCCTGCAAAGTCTTCAATAAAATAAGATAAAGATTTCTAAATATAGCCCTAATGCATATTTCCTACACTATCTCTGTTAATCTTCACAGATACTGGATGATCTTCAGGTCCTAAAGATATTTCTCCATGCTTCCACACATTTATACATACTGGTTCCCACACCTAGGATATTCTTCCTAACAATTTTCAATTATCAAAGTCTAGTTCAATTTTTGCCTTCTTCATGTTTTTTTTTTTTTCCTGATACCCCAACTTCATGCAATCTTTTCCCATCTGAACCTAGTAGTTTTCTGTACTCCTCTCACATTGTGATTCCCATTTTAATGCAACATAATCATTTTGTATGTCTTCTGGATCTCTTACTGTTTGTCAGTTTCATAAATGGCAGCAACTAGCATTTACCCCTAAATTTCTGCAGTGACCTAGTGCCTGTCTCAGAGTTGGCAACAAAAATATTTGTCACATTGATGAATGAATAAATGAACGAGTGAATGATATTTTGATTGCATCTACACAATGACAAGTATTTGGAGAGTTGATGAATACTAAGTTGATGAGGTACATGATAAAACATTAAAACAACTGACTCAGATGAAAATATTTAAATTATTTTTAGTGAAATTCTAAGGAAGTGAATTTACTATTCATAAGGTCTCATAACAAAATTAAGTTTATTAAAAACAAAATTTCCATTGATTTCTGCATAAAGAAAATACAGCCAAAATGACAGATTGACAAAATATTTTCATTACAAAGTTGGTTTAAAACTACTATGTGATGTAAATGAAGTGTCCAATCAACACATACAAATGATGACTATTCCTTGTTTACATATTCTATGATCTTTCTTAAATATATGTATATTTTGATATATAAATGAAACCTATTTTATTCTATATCATTTCCTAGTGTATAATTACATATATGTTATACAAAGTAGATAACACAACCTATCTTTGTGTCATTTTTGAAAGAAAAATACAATTATCTTTGTTTTATCACATTAACAAACTGGCAGTTTATTAGTAAAAGACAGCTAAGTGAAATTTGAGTAAATTTGAAATAATATACTTAATAGGCATGCTATTCTTGGGTGAGGAAAAATACACAATGGGGATTTGGTGGCTTTTCAAATTTTATTCATAACACTCAGCGGCATTTGCCATCCAAGAGTCCTTAAGACATCTTGAATCAAATCACTGCGGTGAAATGGAGAGAAAAAAAACAAATACATAAAATCATACTGAAATTATGTTTGGCCTGACATTTAAGTTATTTTAATGCACTGTTCATAATTTTTCTAGATATTACATTATCCTTTCAATCTTTAATGCATGTGTCTCTAGAGAGAAGCTATTGATACTTTTTAAAATCAATGTTCTAACTACAATTGTGTGAAATCATCCTGAGATTTCTGTTATTTAAATAATACCAACAAAAAACCTTTGTTAGAAGAATTCTAAAGAGACCTGAAAAGTATACAAGTTTTTAAAGTTTACTTCAGAAAACAAACATCCATTCTACAGCTCTCCTACCTTCAAAAGAAAAAAAAAAAAAAAAGCTTTCAAACTTGTACTTCAGATAGTCTTTATTATTAAATAAGCCTCATGGATTTTTAAATTGCATGCAAATTCCTCATATGAAAATGGAAATAAAACTTTGGATCTCATCTAAAAAGTCATCTGGGAATACCTTGGTAAGGACTGGTTAACATTTTAATACCTAAGGTGAGAGTCAGGAGGGCAATAGAAAGGAGATATTTTTGACTATGGGCATCTCTGGAGCTCTATAACATATACGGATGTATGTCACATTAACATATAAAATTAAGTTCTGGAAGCCCCCAAAGCATCATTAAAACAAGCCTCAACAAGATACAGCAAGTAAAAGTGCAGCTGACAGAGACTGGCCCTCGAGCAGTGGTTCAGCCTCGCTAACAAAGCATTGCAGGATGCCTGTTCATTCAGTATCATCTTCTGTACCTGCTCCAGATGCATAATTTCAACCCATCAGACAAACAGTCAATAAATACGTCATTCTGTACGTAAATTATGCCTCCTACCTTCTGGAACCAATTTTTTTTTTTTTCCTGAATGGAAAAGAAACAGTTTCTTCATTTGGCTCCATATCACAATTTTAATGAGCTTTGATATCATTGTACTAAAAATATCTGGAGTGCTTGTAATTAAGGGAATCATCTTCTTGTCATTTATACTTATGTTCTAGAAAACAATGCTGTCTTACTGTTTAGTAGTAGAGGTGGGCATGAGAAATCGTATTAAATGTAGGCGGAATTCATATTCATTAATTAATATTTATTAAAAAGTCCTAGAGAGACACTTAATATGTAAATATAATAATGACTTTAATAGGTTATTTAGAAACCAGTCTATTTTCTCCCATACTTGTCCTAAGAATTTGGGTAACGCATCCTTGATGATACTAATTCTGATCTTAAAAACTTAGCCTCAATCATAACATCTAAATTTGTATATTTGAAATTTCCATAATACATGAAAGAGTAAACAATTATCTTTATGTATGGATGGATGTGCCAATGAGTAATTTAATTCTTGGATGTAAATTAAGAATTCGATAATAAATTAGAGTATGAATGTCAAGCCCTCCAGAGGACCAAGCAATGCATAAAATTAGTAATTTACTAAATGGCACCCTTATGGTCAATGAGGAAAGATGAGTGAAAGCAATAGCCAAAGGAGACTGTAAATCCTTGTTCAATTACAGCTTCCAAAGAATCAGAGTTTTCCATTTCTTTAGCCTACAGAAAAACACTGGAAAGAAAAAAAAAAAAAAACCTTTTATTTCCCACTGAATTCTATATAAGGTGGGGAGGGGTGCAATGATGGGAGAAGAAATAGTTCTGCATTTCAATTTCTTTGAAAGAGTGAGCAGATGCAGTCCCTAGGTCAGAAATAGACACTTCTATGTTGCCTCTCTATTTTCCAGATTGATTAAGAAATGCCTTACCTATATTTTAAAGCAAAAAAAAAAAAAAAAAAAATTCAAAAGGCAACAAATAGCAGCAGAGTCGATTACGTTTTACTTATGGGAATAAAATCTTCTTGTAATTTAAACCTCTTTAAAAAGCACACTTCTCCAAATGTGCACACTCCCATATTCTTACATAATAATCACCTCAACCACTGCATAATTTAAGAATTTTATTGCAGGCGCCTGGGTGGCTCAGTTGGTTAAGTGACTGCCTTCGGCTCAGGTCATGATCCTGGAGTCCCGGGATCGAGTCCCGCATCGGGCTCCCTGCTCGGCAGGGAGTCTGCTTCTCCTTCTGACCCTCCCCCTTCTCATGCTCTCTCTCTATCTCATTCTCTCTCTCAAATAAATAAATAAATAAAATCTTTAAAAAAAATTTTTATTGCTAGCATCTTAAAAAGCATAAGTTACAGCTTCTGAGGAAATAGTTTGACTTTTAGACTTCAGGATTCTCTCCAATTAAACAAAAGTAGTTTTAATGAAAGCTCAGTTAATTCAGCCTCATAAAATAAAGCATATGAACACAAGCTTATTAATATATCTAATGAATACTGGAAATAGATTAAGTTTTGTTTTATAGGATGATATTCTTCAATAAGAATGAGTGAAAAATGTAGTGAAATGAGATTATGGATATTTAGGCTGTATTGTTTGCAGGACCTTGACTCTCATTCATATATTCCTCATTCATATTCTAGGGTACTATGATTTTTGAGTTCCTCATAGATAGGTTTAAGTTCTACAAAAAATGATCTATTATTGTTTACTGAAAATTCTCAAGCATACTTCTCAAGAGAAATATATTCATGTTGAAAATCACACTTTCTTTGGGATATGGGAATGGAGTGATTATACCACACAAAATGAAGGCATAGCTTGCAAAGTTCCCATCTCACATTCTGTCAGGATACTAACCACTCTATGATTAAAGGGAATATGAGACACTAACTTATTTCTTATTTTATGTCTTACATACCATTTTTAATGTCCATATTCTAAAAGACAAAGAAAAAAAAAGAATACCTTTGAAATAACAGCTTCCAAAATAGTATAGTACATATGAATTGGTAAGTTTTTCATTAATGAACTCTTCAGATCATTTTAGAATTAGCAATAGGAAGACTTAAACACTTCCAAATACTCAAAGATGAATTGTAGACTTTTCAACATTGAGTTAAATTTTAATTGACTTAGAATTTTGATATAAAAACACATTTCGTAAAGTATGACATGTGAAGACCATCTCCCTGTTTTCAATAAATTTTGTTCTAATGCAAGAGTAGGTAATACCCTATTAATTTTTGAACTATTTCGTGAATATGACTATTGGATTTCTCCATTAGAGTAGGTCCACTTAATATTTTCTATAATATCTCCTACTTGAGGTTCCACAAGTATTATAAAAAGGGATTTGGGAGCAGTTCATTGTTGTATTTTACATAGCAAGCCTTCAATTGGAATTTAATATATTCTCTATATATTGTAGGCAAGCCTTACATCTGCCTACTATGAGCACTTTAAATGGGGGTCTAGAATTATAAGGGATAATTTTATATTCTATGTCTCTCTCTTAAATCTATAAAATGGAATAGTACTTCCACATACCTACCTGGCAGAAATGTGAAGATGAATGAAATAATCTCTGTTGTATATATGTAGAAATAAAAATTTGCTCACTTCAAATTTTAAGAAATGTTCACTTAATATAGAAAAAGAAAAATAGTTCATTGAAACATTAAGATAATGGTTTTTTGTTTGTTTTTGTTTTTGATTTTTAAGTAGGCTCCACACCCAGAATGGAGCCCAATGTGGGGCTTGAACTCAGGACCCTGAAATCAAGACCTAAGATCAAGACCCAAGCTGAAATCAAGAGTCAGATGCTTAACTGCCTGAGCCAACCAGGTGGCCCAAGATAATGTTTCAATATAATTTGTGATCTTTTTGGTCAGAGAAAGTTGTTTTGGTTTTATTCTTAACCTCTGCATTATGACAGAAGCTAGAGTTTTTCCCTCATATCTCTGATTAATAATATTTTTAAAAATCTCTAAAAAGTGAGGCTGATTTCCTAAAAGTCACAGGAGAGGTAAATGAATGTTTAATACCTCTGTTTTCAGAATATAGAACTCTATTTCCTTTGCCACTTGAACACTTCAGAAAAAGTAGCAAGTGATAAGAAAACACTTGAAAAGCATGAAAATTAATGAATGAAGAAAATAGTCTGACATATATTTGAATTTAAGAAATACAAGAAAAAGCTATTTGGGGACCATGGGATCTTTCAGATGGACTTATAATTAATATTATGTTATAAACATATTTTGGTTTTTGTAAACATAAACACAAATGAATATTAAGAGATAAATGTTTTTAGAAACTACACACATTAATGTTTTATTTACATTAAAAAACAATCCATTCAACACTGGATATTTATAAAAATAGATTTCTTTTGAGAAGTGAAATAATAAGTAGAATCTCAAGACAGTTATGATGGCATAAAGTCAAAGATCGCCAATAAAAAATACCTCTGCTAAAAATGTAGGCAAACTTGGCTACCTAAAATCTAGGCCTCTAGGTTTCATTCATAAATATTACAGAAATATTTTCTATTATTGGATAGATTGAAGTCAAAGAAGAAAGAATATTTAAAATATTAACATTATATATAACTGTACAGATTCCACACAAAGTGGGCAACTAGAGTGATGAAAAATAATTTTAGATCAAAGGTGGCAACATCTAATTACCAATGTCATCTTATAAATGGTACACCATACACTTGAGAAAGAATGGAGCATGGTTTTCTGGTGAGAGACATAACACAGCAAAACTCACAACTCTGGAGAATTGAAGAAGCTTTAATATAGTTGAACTGCAGGATCAAAGATTTCCACAAGGTATGTCAAGGTACTTTTAAAAGCCAGTGGGCAATTTTAATTACATTGTAATGTAATGCATTGCATTACATTAAGGTCAAAGCCAACCATACGTGAACGGTCTTTCTAGAAATGAAAAATAATGAGATTTTAAAATCTCAAAATGTCTAACAACCTTTGCTCTATAATTGTAAATATGTCTGTTCACAAATGCTGATGATAGAATGTTCCATTGGAAAATATTTTTGTGGTAATTGACTCATACTGATATGAATATGCATGAAATTAGATGACAAGATTTCAGGTCAAGATTTTTCAGTATTTTAATATTTTCAGTATTTCAGTACTGACTGTACTAGGAAAATTATTCTTCTCAGCCCTTAATTTCCACTATAAAATGTTGTTTTCCATCAATGCTTTAATCTAAACATATAGTATTTTTAACTGAAACCTCGTAGTGACTTGACATTCCATTATGAGACAGAATTTCAGAAAACATAACAATAAAAACATCTTAAGCTTCCATTCTTTCTCAGTAATAATTTTAGATAACTCTCTTACAGTTTATGTAAAATCAATTAAAATTTCTTTCTTCTGCTTTATTTTGTTTTGTTTTACTAAGAATGAATTAAAGAAATTCTGGATCTTCCATAAATTTTTCCACGAAAACTGTTAGCATTTTATTAGGCATCTAACCACATTTGTGGTTAAATCATTCATTCATTCATTCATTCATTCATTCATTCATTCATTCAGTGTGTGTGTGTGCACATGTGCACACACACACACAAATACACTCACTGCCTCCACAATTACTAATGTTTTTTGAATAAAAATATTAGAAAAACGTTTCTGTTATCAGGTTTCCTGATGTGTTCTTTGTGAAGGAAGAATTCTGCCTTTCCACTTTTCCTCTTTTATTTATTTCCTAAACTCCCTGGAACCAACTGTATAATGGAAAAAGATACTGTTTTTATTTTATTTTATTTATTTATTTTTTATTATGTTATGTTAGTCACCATACAGTACCTCATTAGTTTCTGACGTAGTGTTCCATGATGCATTATTTGCATATAAAAGATACTATTTTTAAAATCAAGCATTTAAAATCTAGCTAAAGATCGTTTTTGCCAATACTTTCTAAGTCATGTCTTCATAAATTTTTATACTCTCCTTAAGGTTATATTTGAGATTTACTTCAAGGTAGGCCTGGATGTCGATCTTTTTTGCCAAGATGTAAATTCTGCTTATTCTACATCAGTGATGATATATCTCTTATAACAACTATACTCAAGACTCAGTAGCATGAACAATTCAGCAACTATTTTTGTTTGTTTGTTTTTAGCTTTTCGTAGAGTGGTTAAAAAAAAATCACAATGTAAAAAAAAAATCACAATGTAAAGCTATTTATGTTATTCTTTAGCCATTGCCAGATTTCAGGTTCTTTTGTTTTGTCACCAAAACCCCATGCTCATAAAAGAATTCTCAGAGCAAGTTAAATCATGTGAAACAGATCCGTGCTTCCATATTAACTTCAAACTTTTTTCAAGTACAAAAATTTCAAAAGACTGAAAAAAAGATCTCTGAGTTCTATCAGTCTGCTTGTTACTTTCTCTCATTCTCATAAGATCACTGGTATCCATTCCACCATTTCTCACATGCACACATGTGTGCGCACATATTCACAGCAGTTTTTTTAATCAACAAAAATTAATTTACACCTAGAGAATGCAAGTTACAATTTAAAGTACCCCAAGGAAACCCTATACTTCTCTAAAATGCATTTCAGAATCTCTCTTCCTGGCAAATTTTGACTACAGATCACAGCTCAATACAATTGTGCAGGGATTTAGACTCTTTAATCTGGGCAGAAATTATCTAGATTATTTCACTTTTTACAAGATAGCTCATTATTGTGTAGGAGTCCCTCTAAATCTGTAGATAGAGGTCTTTGGTCTTTCCTCCTAGCCTAGACCTTTATAGCTATAACCCAGATATATATTTAGGATTTGCATTTCTAAGTAATTAAGACTATCGCATTTGGACACCGATCCCCAAAACGTGCATATTTTTTACTTCACTAGTATCAAGTTAGAAATACCACTTTTAATATCTAACATCTGGACTATAATTCAAACTTAAAATATTAAATAAACCATTTAAAATTACATGTGGTTTTATTCTCCAATGCCACATGTATACACAATGATTACAAAAAAATAGAAGATCCCAGTTAAGTTATGGTCATTCCATGGTTCTGGGAGAGAGAAATGGTGATTTCACCTTGAAGCAGGATTTCAGCAAGAATTAGCATTCCACTTCCATATATGATATGATTTTAATCTTAATGGAACAACAAACACAGCAACATGTTAAATGTAAAACAGATGCTCCAATCTTACAACTTCTGGTTTAAATCAGGACCACAGTAAAAGCTCTGGAAGAGAAGTATGAATGCTTGACATAAGGATGATGTGCTATGTGTATATTTTATTTGAAATTATCCGTTATCCAATGACTTGTTCAGATTCCCCTTTGGAAATCAGTTTCAACCTACTCTTCTTTTAGGCACAACTGGTGCACTAACTGTTAAAATGTACACAAATGGAGAAAAATAAAAAAGGAATGCTGACGATAATACATATAGGTGGGACATTACATAGGAGTGAAAGTGGGAGGGGAACACTAACCATATTAGGCTTGGATGGGCAACAGCGCACAGGGAAGAAGCCCTTCCACAGCCACACTCGCAGCAACTGAAAAGCAAACAAGAGAGCCCAAGATAAGGAAGACATCCCACTCCCTCAATATAGCATAAAGACACTATGAATTTAGACAGGTGTCTGTTTTGCTTTTCAAAAGCAAAATCCCTAAATGCATTACAATTAAATTTCTTCCACAATGCCTTTCAAATTAAAAAGCATTTTATGGACTTAAGAAATACAGAGCTATATTAAATAGTTATCTTTATTTTACTTAAAATGTTTATTCAGGAGGAAATAGAATGAGCCAATGCATTTGATTATGCAATTAATATAGACATACAAATAAAGATGGAAGCCCATTTAAATATATCTTTCCTCGGAAATTCCTGCAAAATTTATATTCAGAAGACGTGCTAAATTGTTCTTTAAATACATGTTTGCATAGAGCCTACAAATTAGGAGGGAGAACAATGTCCTGCTAATTTGACCCACTGATTTCGTATGCCAGTGCCAGTGGCATTATTTACCACAAACTATTGAAAATGTTACGCTTACATGACTTCTCCAATCACCAATGGGAAACTACCAATTTAAATTTACATATTCAGACTTAAAAAATGCATCTCCAAATATATATTTGTAGAGCTATTATATTTAAATGCAAGCTATATACAATACATGCACTTTTCTGGGTATTACAACACTTAGGATTCTTTCAAATTTTCCACATATTCATAAAAAATCCAGAAAATACCAAGTAAGTTGCTTACTAAAATGCACTTTATCATTAGAAACCACATAAACTGATGGCAGAATATAACACAGAAGTTATTTAGTGCTTCAATGCATTCACTTGCTAGTATATTTTATGAATATTGCTTCTAGTGATTCAAGAGAACTGCAAAATGAGCTCAGCAATGATACATAAACCAGCAGGCCTAGGGTTTTGTCTAAAATCTGTCTATTTTGAACTGTAATTATTTGAAATGTATCTACTCTATTTTATAACAAATAAAGAGAGGAAAGTGTAATATAAACATACCACAAATTTGGAAATGCTAACAAACGTAGACAAGTATTTCCAAATCGAATTCCAAAAATTCCAAAGGGTCTTTTTCAAAGGAAAAGTAGGGAATATTCAATATATAGAGAGAGAGACTATATATATATATATATATTTTTAACTGATGGTGTTTTAATTTTTAGGACTACTTATCTGGGAATTTGGCTGTCACTAAAGTGGAATCCTAGTAAATATAAACGGCCACTGTGACATTTATTTCCGATTTGACTATTTATTATAATCTATTTTTAAGGAGTGCCTGGGTGGCTCAGTTGGTTGAGCGTCTGCCTTTGGCTCAGGTCATGATCCCAGGGTCCTGGGATCTAGCCCCACGTCCAGGGAGCCTGCTTCTCCCTCCCTCTGCCTGCTTCCCCCGCTGCTTGTGCTCCTCTCACTCTCTCTCTCTCTCTCTCTCTCTCTCTCAAATAAATAAATAAAATCTTTTAAATATGCCTTAAAATTATTTCACTGTAGAGATAATGTAGGTATATCAAAATATTAAAACACTTAAAGAGTAGTTAAAGCATCTGTGAAATACTTTGGCAGATCTTACTCTATTTCTTTATAATTATATTTATTTCCTTAATGTCTTAAACACGTACTGATCTCTTATATAAATAAACTTTCCTGTTTCTGTTTGTATCAGCACTCAGATTAAGGGTTGCCCAACTACAGTCCTTGGACCAAATCTAGCCTACCACTTATTTTTGTAAATAGGGTATTGTTGGAACACAGCCATACTCATTACTTGTGTGTGGCTTTTTTAGTGCTGTTATGACACAGTTGAGTAGTTATGACAGACAATGTAGGGCCCTAAAACATTTACTATCTGCCCTTAAAGAACATTTGCCTTCCTCTTTTCTTAGACTATTAGTTCCCTAAGATGAGGATGTTCTTTGATCTTTTCTTTTTCTTCACAGCTTAAACAAAATGAATGGCATCCATAAGTAGTCAGCGTTTTACTGTAATTGGTATTAACTATGGCACAATTATCTCATTTTACTGATAGTTATTAATGTGGAAAGTTTGCATATATGTGTTAATTTCAAACAGCACAGTTCCAACTCAATAAATAATTAATAAATAATAATTGTTGACAAAAGTATCTGATTACTTTTTGATGATTAAAAAAACAAAGGATGATGAGATCTCCTAATAAAGTACAAACATACTTCTAGTTGTAAACTATACACAGTTTATAAACTCACGTAGAGCTGTGTTTAGGCAGGCTTGCCATTACCTAACAGGATTTAATATTCAGCCAGTGTCCTGAGACAAAAGCCACACTAATGATCCTAAAAATAATATTGTTTCAGTCGTCCTAATTTGAAAATTTATAATAAGGTTTCTGTCCTACATCTCAGTATACACACACACACACACACATACACATGCTATTCACTGTAACACTCAATCCACAAATTTTAGTCTGGAAGAACTTAAATCACCTTACCTATCACTAGAATTTTAATTTAAAGTTTTAATAAACTTTAATCAAAAATATGAAATCATGTAAAATCAAGCACTTGTACTTCTATATTCTTATGAGTCATTGCTTTAGATTTTGTACTGAGAGTGTCTGACTTGTTTTAAGATGGCACAAATAAATTAGCTTGGGTAAATTAGTTAATCTCTTCGTATTTCAGTTGACAGCTATAAAATAGGAATAATAACAGATCCTATCTCAACAGTTTTGTGAAAATGAAGTGAGAGAATATATATATTCATTTAGATCAGGATCTGGCATATCACACATTTTGGGAGGAAAGTGGAGGCTTAGTCTTAGTAATATCATAATCAAAGTGATGGACTAGGGCGCCTGGGTGGCTCAGTTGGTTAAGCGACTGCCTTTGGCTCAGGTCATGATCCTGGAGTCCCGGGATCGAGTCCCGCATCGGGCTCCCTGCTCGGCAGGGAGTCTGCTTCTCCCTCTGACCCTCCCCACTCTCATGTGCTCTTTCTCTCTCATTCTCTCTCTCAAATAAATAAATAAAATCTTAAAAAAAAAAAAAGTGATGGACTAGATTCTTATTATCTCAGAGGAATTGTTTTTTTCATGATCCATATAATATTATCATACCAAGTATTTCCATTTATAATATAACTAAATAGCTGATTATATTCAGACCGACTCATATAAATACAGAAGGGTCAATGTAATTTTTTGAAGAATCAATTCCATAAAATATTTTTTTCTGAGGATTTAGTAGCGATCCCAGCATTCTATGCATTATTAAGAAGATTAAAACTGAAGTTCCTTTACTAGGACTACCGAAAGTGTAAGAGTAACCCCCCAAATAAATCTTTTAAAATAAACTCTGAGGATGCTGTCACAGTAACACCTCAGCACCAGATGGTATACATGCTCTTTCCTTAATCAATAAATACTTGAAGTACAGGTTGAAAATGCTTACAGGCCTCGGAGATAATTTAGAAATAGAAACCAAAATGTGCTAGAAAGAGCAGCCAATCTAACTTCTGTGGGCGATGGCTCCACACAGGCCACATCTGCATCCTCTTCAGTCTGCAGCACCTGGAAGCCTACAAGTAACTTCATGCAGCTGTCACAAGATCATTATTAGCCAAGTTTAAAATAGTTTAGCTCTTCCAGGCTTATAATAATAATAAAAAAAAAACTGTGCATCTTTGTTTCAACAAGATATTTCGATTTGTCCTTCAGAAGATTAAAATATGATAACAGAAGCTTTCCAGACCAAAAAAGATTCAAATAAAATTACTTTAGCCAGGACTTAACACAGAGTTAATCAATATATGCATGAAGTGTGTCAATGTAAGTAAGATAACCTCCCTCCTACCAAAGTAAGGTGATTATAACTCTAGGGAAGAAATTCTTCAAGATACTAGATCAGAGAACCAAGACTACAGGCTATGGATAAATGATTTAAATTCTTAAACAAGAGATCATACAGCAGATAAGGAAAACACTAAGATCCTAACAGATAAATGAGAGAAACGCAGGAAGAGTAAGTTCACAAAACAAGTACTTCAATTAGGTAACAAATATTTTCAGTTTATTGGTAAAAAAAAATTAAAAAGGGGAAGAAAAAAAGGCTCTGTAGTTTACCCCTTTTATATAAAACAACAATAACACCAACTGAGGGTACTAAGTACTAGAGAAAACACAGTGGCTCTTAGGCCACTGAAAAGTGGCACCAAGCCTTTAGAACACAATCCTATAAAACCTATGAAAGAGCAATAAAAAAGTCCTCACCTTTGACACCATTGTGAAGCCAAAGAATTAAGATCATGGGGTTTAGAGTCAAACTAGGAGCAGTCCTGGATGCATCCATTACTATATGGATCATTTGGGTAAACCAGTCACTGATGTGAATGAGATAATAATAGAACCTATTCCACATAATGCAGTTTCGAAGAATGAGTTTCATAATACACGTGAAGCTCTTTGCACTGTCCCAGGCTCACAGTGAGCTTTAGAAGTTTTAAAACTAATATTATTATAATAACCTGGTCTTAGGACAAAGAGGGAGGTGCAGAAAATATGCATGAAGTTGGCCATACTAAAAGAACTAAATAATGAATAAATATTTTGAAGTAAACAAAATACATTTGTGGAGTCTATGATGCAATGAAAATCAATGAGATATATATATATATATATATATATATATATATATATATATATTAATCAGTGTGCAAAGAAGTAACATGATGACAAAAGTGTTTTTTTAAGAGCTATTGTTGGAGTGTTACATTAATTAGCATTACGGGGCAATTTTAATTTTCCCTTATTTCAATTTTTTGTGGTTATTTCTGCAGAAATCTTTTGCAAATACTGAGCAAGGGATAAAAAGCATAATGTACGTGGCTCCCAAACTCTACTCTTCAGTCGCCATGCTTCTGGCACAAAGGCATCAAATTATTCCACCCTAAAGAGAAGGCAATGCAAAATGGTTATAAAGAGCTTTTAATTTTATTTTTTGATTGTGTCTTTGAGTAACTCTGAGGG